CCCCCCAGCCTCTGGCCTGGCTGGGCCCTGTCCAGGACACCATCCAGAGCTGCTCCGCACAGACCTGCAACCTGGAAGGCTGCTTTTATCTCCAGTCCTGCATACAACCCCCCATGGCACGCCAGGCTGGCACCACTGTTGAGAGGAGTCAGTCCTGCCAGAGGGAATTCCAGAGATAAGAACTTGGTCTCTGGAAAGCTCTGGCCCCATAAACAAACTCCTGCTGGAGAGTGTGGGGCTGGAGGGGGGAGCGAAGATACCACCTGATTCTCGGGAAGCAAGTGTGGAGTTCTGATGCCCACAGCTCCCTCCATGCATGGGGTGGAGGGGTATCTTTCCCTCTAGGCCACATTCATGTAGAGTCTTGTCTAAGACCACTGCTCATTGGAGAATGAGAAGCAGCTTCCTTTTGCTGAGGGGGTCTGGGGTCCCTTTGGTGATGGGGGCTAGCTCTCTGCTGCTCCCCGGCATCCTATCCTACTTTCTTCATCTCCTGAAATCTTTTCCCTCTTTGCTGCACCAACTCCCACCACCCTCATCCTCTCACTTGGATGGCTCCCACAGCTTTTGGCTGGGCCTCTTACCTGTTCGTTCTCCAATCCCTGGGCAAACTAAGGTCTATGGCCACAGCCAGCCTGCTGCTGTTTTTGTACAACCCATGAGCTAAGAATAGTTTTCACATTTTTAAAAGGTTGGGCAAAATAAAAATATTTTGTGATATAAAAATTACATGAAATTCTGATTTCAGTGTCCATAAAATTGTTATTAGAACAGAGTTGTGCATGCTCACTCATGTACTGTCTGTGGCTGCTTTCACACTACAATGTCAGGGTCGGGCAGCTGCAACAGAAACTCTAAGGTTCGTAAAACCTGAAATATTTACTATCTGGCATAGAAAGTGTTTGCTGGCTCCTGCTCTAGATCATAAATCCAGCTGAGCTACTCTCTGCTTAGGATCCCTCAATGGCTCCAGGTGGCTCTCAAGTTGACCTGTCTACCTCTCCAGCTTCATCATCTGTCCCTCCAGTTGTCTGCCCACTCTGGAAGATCCTTTCCTCAAACCCACCACAAACCATATTCCAGGGCTTGCCTCATGCCCTTTACCTTCACTTGGAATGCCTCTCTCCTACAAATGGCACTCTGCCATCTTCAGACTCCACTCAAATGCTTCCTTCTGTTTCCCCTCCCAATCAGGGGTCCTTCCCCCAAGCACGAGAGCTAACCCAGTCCTACCATGTCACAAAAACTCCTTGTATAACTCTCCAGCTTTTAATAAGATTAATGACCGATTTGTACCAAACCAACCTATTCCATTATATATATTCAGATATGTGTCCCCTACTGGATTACTAACTAAAAACAGGCCACATCTCCCCACAGCCCTGGTACAAGGCTGGTGCTAAGTAGGCACACAAGCATTCTAACTTTTTACTTGGCTAATATTATGGAGAAAAAAGATGCTTACATATTTTCCAATTATCAAGTCTTATTTTATAAACTTTCGGCACCTATGATAGATCAGGTACCTCTACGTAAGTTATCTCATTTAACCATCACCACCCTGGTGAGGTAGCTTGATACCTCCATTCTACCAAGTGGCAAGTTGTTATGTGACAGAGCTGGAATCAGAAAACAGGTTTCCTGCCTCCTGCTGATTCCGAGGTGCTCTCAATGTAGAGTTCACCCACTAAACCCACTGATTAAAAGACATAACAGATGCCTGTGGGCTTCCTATTGGGTGTAGGGCCGTTGACCCTGTGCTAAATGGGCCCAGATAAGGTGGTGTGTAGTTCATCTCTTCCCTCCAGTTGTCTATCCCCACTGATGTACCTGATGCTTTTCAAGGCAGATTGTCTGGGTCAGGACCAAAGGGTAGCTATGCTCTGTGAAAATTAAGTGTTGGTTTTGTAAAGTCATTTTTGAAATCTCCTGTTGCTCTGGGGCTCATGGCTTGCTTTGGAGCAGAAGAAAACTGGAAGTTCGGCCTCTGTGCTGCAGAGGTACCAATGCAGAGGGCCAAACTAACGTAACTGGTGATGCACCTGCCTTAAAGGAGCCTGAAGAATGCTTCCAGGGGCTGCTGGGATAAGTCCTGGACTGTCCACATACTTTGACTATTCAAACAGATGTCCAGTGCTCAGAGATAGGGAGAGCCAATACAGCTGCTGCAGGCCTGGGAAAAAGCAACACAAAAAAAATAAGTCTACCTGAGACTCTTTCTCAACTATAGAGAAGGTGTTGGGGCTACTCTGGTCATACATACATAGAGGCCACAGTGTGAACCTGGCAGGAGGAGCTTGCTCTATATCCTCTGCCATCATGGTGGATAGCTAAAGTGACTGTCACCAGACAGGGTCAGTGATGTGGTATGAGGTGTCCCTTGGATAGAAAATGGAATTCTGTAAAGTCACCCAACCCCTCTGCTAGGTCTAGAACTAATGGTACTGAGAACCACTAAAGTAAGTTCAGCTAGATAGATATATGAGTTTTTGGCAAAAGATTCAGATAAGATATCTGGGGTCAACGCAACATGTGTGATTCTGGATATGGTGAACCAATTCAATGTTTGCTATTTCAGACTGAGAAATTTCCTTGTGTCTTTCCAAAGACTGCGATCAGTCTGGATTAAGAAAGCGAGGCGCATCTGATGTTGCAGGCGTTTTCAGGAGGATGGATAACTGGGACAACTGAGACTATAACTAAGTGCCATAACACTGGTTTCAGGCTAAAATTCTGGTTTGTCCAAATCGAGCCCAATGTTCCCCTAAGCCTCCGAGCAATCAGTGAAGGTGTGAGGAGCCTCTGCAAATACATGACTGAATCACTAGTGACTGTGCAGCCAACATCTGGCTTCACAGAAACATTTCATACAGATCAGAGGACGGGATTTCTGACACACTCATGCTTTGGATGTATCAATACAAAACAATATGTGAGGCTATAAGTCCACCGGGAAGTTGGGAACAAGCATGATTTATCTGCTGGCAAATGAATCTCCACCCCACCTAATCATTCTTTCATCTAAGTACATCTTGAGCTTCTCAGTCCTGGACATCAAAGTAGTCAATTACCGCCTCCTTGGCTATTTTCTGTAAATTACTGCTCCCAGGATTCCTGAAAAGCAAACAAATAATAATCTATCTTTTCTTTCTAGGAGAAACCAGATTCAGTTATTCAGAAAGTTAAGGATCAGCTGATTTATCATTTGTGAAGCTTTGATAAGATAGAGGGGGTCTACATGAGCTCAGAACTATTGAAATTTGGTGATGGGCACACAGGGGTTCACTATATTAATACTATTTTCTCTAATAATTTTCTACAATACAGTTTTATACAAAAGTAAAGCAAGCAAAGGGGGCAAAAAGCATAGCATAAAGAGGCCAATGACTACACATGGTTATGCCCAGGTGGTACTGGACACAGCTATGGAGTAAGGTGTCAAATACTCCACCCATTTCCAAAACTACTGTTCATTAGACATGCAATCTGCACAGACTGGAATCTAGGCTGCCTGCTTCCCAGGGATGATCAGGGCTGACACTGGGGGCTACATGGCCCCAGCTGCTCCTGCTGGGGCTGTGTCCAATGGGCAACACCTAGGTGCTCTGTCTAGTCCCAGGGGAACAGAGATTGCTATGACCCTCATGGTTACCTTGTAAACTGCTCTACCCACGTCCCAGAGGTTTCCTGTAGGGGGTACTGCCAGGGCTTCTGTGTGGAAGGCCAGAATGGGAGTAGGGAACCCTGTGAGTTTCAGAGCAACTTTCAAGCAATGCTGCTTCATAATAGTAGGGCAGCCAGCTTCCTTCCCTGCCAGAGAAAATAGCTGGCAGACTTGCTGCTGCTTGCCAATGTGGTTTTCTTTTCTCTTTAAATCATGAATACGTCTTGGTTGTAAAAATGACTAAAATCATATGGAAGTAGAGCAAACCGCCCGGCCGGGTGTGGCTCAGCGGTTGAGCATCGACCTAGGATCCAGGCGATCGGGGTTCAATTCCAGGTCAGGGCACATGCCCAGGTCGTGGGCTCGATCAATGACTCTCTCATCAATGATGTTTCGGTCTCTCTCTCTCCCTCTCCTTTCCTCTCTCTGAAATCAATAAAGACATATTAAAAAAAGAAAAAA